GCTGTTATTCCAGATCTCTGTAACAAGGATACAGTGTTAAAACTCCAGCATTACTCAAAAGGCTTCATTAAGACTCAGTACCAGAGGAAATCCATGTTGCTGGTACCCACTGAGGCTCTTCCTGAGCCTTCTGTATAACAGACAACAATTGGGCACATGCATCTTGCAAGCTGTCATTGACGATCACATGATCAAAAAATTGGCCAAACTGAGTCTCTATTTTCTGGGCTAACTCCTCCATTTCTTGTAGGTCTTCATCCTTCAGAAGAAATATGGATAAGAAAGAAAGAAAAATAAGGATAGCACAGACTTTATGAGGCAAACAGAAAAAAATATACACTTTATTGTCACATTCAATTGTGAAGCTGTTTATAAAAACAATTAGGTCAAATAAAGGTCTTCTGAACTACAGGACTTAGTTTTCAGTCTTTAGTCTTACTTAATGTCTGGTCAATGTTTTATAAAATTTAGTAATAGTTTGTAGATAGATTACTCCCCTCAACTTCCCCATGTGGACTTAAATTATTTTACTCTATTATCTAAACACTTGAAGCTCTTAAACCATACACATTGTAAAATCAAAGAAAATTTACTAGCTTAAATAAAACTTAAATATAGATTTCAAATGAACATTAATCTGATAAGAATAACATTATTTTGCAGATACAAAATGGCCACTTTGAACATGTGAATGATACGACCTGGTTCTGTTGTGTTGAGCATATCCTTTGCTTCATGATGACTTAATTCATCTATAGTATTGTCTGTGTCTACTACTGTGAAATGTTCATTCAGTGAAGGTCATTTGGCCTTCACTTGGCACTAATACATTAAATTCATTTCTGTTATTTTCTTATTTGTCTATGACAGTTAAAATAGTACAACTTGTTACCAATGCAATCTTAAATACAAATGCAGGTAGTGAAATCTTGTAGCATTACTACTTTGCAAGGTGACCATACATATGATCCAAAAACAATTTTGTTAATTTGTTTAGACTGCCATAAAAAAACGAGAACACAATTTTAAATGCCCACAAGACTCAGACAATACATCCTTAGACTCCACTCTTCAAAAGGCAAACTGGAAAATGAGACTTTCATAGTCATTGAAAAAAAAAGCTAAAAATAGTAAGAGATAAAAGATACCTCATGCTTGCTTTGGCAGGACATATACTAAAATTGGAATGATACAGAGATTAGTATGGCCCCATGCAAGGACGATACACAAATTTGTGAAGCATTTATAGTTTTAGTTTCAGTTTTGCAAGGGGAAAACATTCTGGAGATCTGTTTCACAACAATGCGAATAAACTTAACACCACCAAACTGTAC